ATGACTTTCTCTCTGGCATTCCTTTTGGTCTGCTACTTTTGTTTTTGTTTTTTTTTACCCCTCACATCAGAACTGTTATTGTAATGTCCAAATAACCAGCCCTTCTTGCTTTCCCTTCTCTTTGCAGTAAAGAGAACTTTCTCTGGTTCTTATTTTTAAGCTAACCCACCCACCCCACAACACACACATTATATGACACACACAGAATCTTCAGTAAATAGTTTGGCCAATATTTTTTTCTTTTTTGCAATTTTTTTTTGTACTTCCAAAATTTCTCTGTGCCTTCTTCAGGAAAAAAATGAAGGAATTTTCCTCACTGTTTCAATGAAGAATTTACCCTTGTGCTTTTATATTTTAAACAAAGCTGCATGTGTACATGTGTGGGTGTTAGTGCGTTTCCTGCATAGGTGAAGAATTTCGCACATGAGGAGAGTTTCATGTTTTGTTTTTCTCGTGGTGACTTTTCATATGTTTGAGTTTTCTTTGTTGTTGTTGTTGTTTTGTTTTTTTTATAACTCTGTTTCCTTTCAAGAGTTCCACTACACCGCCATGTCCTCCACCAGCACTTTCAACTGCTAGGCCAAATCCCCCAAAACTAAGCACAGCCAATCCTTCTGCCCTGCCACCTCCAACTACCAGTACCAAGAACTCTTTAAGCAGTCTTCATGGTACTTATAATATAGATCAAGATGGGAAAGTTAAGGAGGAGGAAGAGGTGATGATAGAAAGAAGGTTTGTGGTAGTAGTAATAGTAGTTGTAGTAGTTGTCGCAGTAGTGGTACCAATTTAGTCAGAGGTAGCAGCAGTTATAGTCTCCTCAAACTAACCAAAAGAATCTTTCACGTAGCAAAGGCAGAAAGAAAATAAAGCTCCGATGTTCAAAATGGATTCAGAAGATAAAAGAAAATAAATAATTTTGTTTCAAGAAAAAAAAGGATCACCCATTTTTTTCTTTATTGATTTAAATAAATAAATAAATAATCTGTTCATATTTTTTTCTTTCTTTCAATTTTTAACCATCTTTACTCCAAACCATCGTACTTTTCTCCACCTTTTCCTTCTTTTTCAGTTTCTTTTTCTCTTTAAGTTTCTTAATTCCGTCTTCAGTTCCTTTCTTTCATTCTTTATTCTTCTAATAATCATTCCTTTGTCCATAAATTCTTCACCTCATTTCTTTCTTTCTTTCTTTTTAGTCACTTTTTTTTTTTTTTTTCTCATTCCACCTAAAAATTACCTCAACTCCATTTCCCAGTCTGCTCCCTTACCAACTCCCCCCACATTTCAAAGTAGCCCAGCAGTTAGACCGAGGGTTGGGGTTGAGCACATATTACAGAGATTCTGTAATAACGGTAGGACCTGGTAGATAAGGTGTCATTTACGTAGGGTGTGGGTGTCTATGTTTTAACCATTCTTTATTTTACTCTTCCCAACTTATCTGCCTTCTCAAATTATCTTTTCCTATCATTCAGTCTTGCTTTTATTATAGGTACTTGCTTTATTTAGCTTAGTACAAGTCTATAAGTATGAGGAAACCAGTAAAGACTGAACCCAATGGTAATATTAGCAGTTTCCTTATGAGGAAAAATTTGGCATTCACTGACCGAACAGCCAGTACTAATCAAGTTACAAGTTCACTTCCTGATCATCAGGCTAGGATCAAAGTGCAGTATTTGTTCTCTTCACCTCTAATAGTAATGGTAATATTTGCTGTTTCCTTATAAGGAAACATTCAGCATTGACTCTGCAGCTAGTACTATTATTGGTTGAAATTTATAAAATCTTTTTCTGAAGACAATTTTTCAGGAAAGTAGGTTTCAAGTCCAGTATCAATAGGAGTAGATAGGTTTGCCTATTATCCTGTTCACACACCTCCTCGGTCTTTTAAACAGAAGTAGAGGTTTATCCCTTGTTTCCTGTTCCTTATAAAGTCTACTTCAGCTCTATACTCCTAATGCTTGCCCCTTTCCTATGCTAATATAACTCCACACAGTAACCCTCTACCTCGAGTGGCCCTTGGACCTTGTATTGGGTGAATATTAATAAAAAAGTAAAGAAAAAAAAGCTGTTATTGCTCTTTGCAGTATTGATGGTGGATTCCTTCTTAACTTTTTATTTGAAATAGGGTGCTGGATATTTATGTGATATCCAACCTCTTATATAGCAATGAATGTTGGACAATTTCCCTAAGCATGATGAAAAAACTAGAAGCAACAGAAATGTGGTTCTACTGAAGGATACTGAGGATTCCATAGATGAAGAGAGTAAGCAATGAATAAATCTTAAGGAAAATTTTGTTAGAAACAAAGAAAAGAATAATGAAATACTACATGATATCAAACTTTTTATTTGCATTATTTACATTATTCAAACTGTTATCCTTATTGCAATATTCACAATGTTTCAGCCGTTGTATACTCCGGCCTTCTTCAGATGATTGGAATACCTCTTCCAGTTATCTCAATTTTTTCCTTTTAACTCAACTCTCTAAGTTTTGGTTCACCACTGCTGTGGCCTGGTATTGAACTGACAACTCCTTGAGGACACATGGCCCAGTGGATAAAGATGTTGGTTAGATCCAGTGCCTAGACCCAAAGAGTTGAGAGTTTAATACCAGGCCACAGCAGCAGTGAACCAAAAACTTGGAGAGTTGAGTTAAAGTTGAGACATCCAGAAGAGGCATGGCACATGGAACTAGAACAAGAAGCGTACAATGGCCAAAACATTGTGAATATGACAATGAAGACGAGGATAATAGTCCGAATAATGTAAATAATACAAGTAATCATAATACCTCATCTCAGAGATATAGAAAACTATCAATCCTTTTGTATGACAGTGAATGCTGGGCAATCTCACTACAGATTTTTTTTTTTTTTAAGCATTTCACCCCAAGCAAAGTGGGAAGCCACTAGCATGCAAGGGGTTACAGAGGATTTGGAGCAAGAGCAGATAGGAGTGATAGAGGAAAGGATGTGGAGAAGGATAGTGGATAGATCAAGGCAACTGGAGATGTCGATTGACATTACATTTGAATAGTTGGAGATTATAGCTATCAGGGAAACAGGAAAAGGGAATGGAGTTCCACAGGCGAGAGGTGCAAGTTTTAAAGCTACTGGAGTAGAAGAGACAGCTATATTTAACAGTTTCAACGGTGAAAGGGTGAGAGCAGGATGCCAGTCTCATAGGACACTTGAATTCATGGAGTCTGGGAACCAGAGAAAGCTCATCAGAGCAATTAAGATGAAGTGAACTAGAGGCAACAGAAATGTGGTTCTACAGAAGGATATTGAGAATTCTATCTACAGAGTGATTAAGCAACAACAAAAAGAAAATGCTAACAAAAAGGACACTTATACTGAGAATCAGAAAAACAGTTGAAATTTCTTGAACACATCATGAGGAAGGAAGGCTCGGAGAATTTGATACATGACATATCGAAGGCAAAAGGGACAGGAGAAGACATTATGCTGCCTAATTGACAAGCTTGTGTGGATAGATGTGGCCCTACAGAAGGATGCTGAGAATACCATGGGTGGAGTGAGTAAGTCAAGGAAAATGGAAACAAAAAAGTTCACCTATATTTAAAATCAGGAAGTGGCAGCTGAAATTTCTTGAACACATTGTGAGGAAAGAAGGCATGGAGAACTTAATCCTCATGGGGCATACTGAGGGCAAGAAAGATAGAAGCAGGCAACAAGCCAGTTACCTGAGGAGTTTTTGTTAATGGATGTTGGAATGGAGAGGTACTTAACAAAAGGAGAGAAACTGCAAAGAGCCACACAAGGTAGAAAGCTGTGGAGAGCCATGATCGCCTATGTCCTGAAGGGATGTGTCACATAGAAGTGTGAAATGTCAGTATCTTTTACTATGTGATTATTTTCCCTTTGAGTTACATGTGATATTCATTTTAGCTGTTGCTGCTGTTGATACTCTTCAAGTGATATAGTCTCTTATGTGCCGTGATTATGACTCTCCACAACTTCCCGTCTCTTGTCAACTTACCAGCTACTGAAATGTCACTGGAAATATGTAAATTCCAATAACTTAAAAATCATGGAAATGTTAAAGATATTAGCCATTTCCTTATAAGGAAACATTCAACATTCATTGACTGAGCTGCCAGTAGAACTTTTGGTTGAAATTTATAAAATCTTTCTCTTAAAACAATTTTTCAGGAATATAGGTTTCTAAGGTTCACTGTTATTTCTCTTGTTATTAATGGGTGTTTCCTTTCTAATCTTTTGTTTGAAGTTGTGTGGAATGTCAACATCTTTATTATATCATTAGTTTCTCTTCAAGAATGAATATGCTTTCATTTTAGTTATTGGTAGTGTGAAAGTCCACAAGTGATTTGATTTCTGTTGTTTTAGTATAGTTCCTTGTTTGTGATTCTGTAGCGCCAGTCTGAGAGGTTCAAAGATGGATGGTCCTCACTAACACCTACATTCCTCTTTCACTCAAAGCCATCTTTAACCATCGTTCTGAGAATGTGGTTGCATATAGCTGACAGTTTAGATATTTCTGAATGAATTTGGCACCATGAATGAAATCCATATAAAAGTCTAAATCTGAAAAGGTTAAGAACATGACTTGAGTTTTCAGGTTAATATTTTGGTTTTGTAGCAACTTGCGGTGTTGAGCAAAACTACTCTTATTGCAGCCGATGTTCAATTTCCTTATCTCTCATACTAAATTTTTTATAAGTGAGCTATATACCAAGATATTTGAATTATTTATTATTTACTTAATTCCACATCCGGAATTTTTATGATGGATTCAGAGTAGGTGACATCAGTGCTTTCATTCCAATTCCAGGTCATAGTTTCTGTTTTGGAATTGAGAAATTGGAGAGCCAAGTTCAAATTCTAGTTGGATCCATTACATTCACTTACATGGTAATAACCTTGGGAAAGGTATGAATCCTTCTCTTCTCTGCCCAGCTATGGGTAAATAGCAGGACAGACTGGATTCCATAGCCTTGGTTGGCAACTGTTCTAAGAGAAGAAAACTGAATCCAAAAACCGTCCTGGAAAGGGTTGGGCTGCATCAGGCTATCTTGCCCAAGAAACACCTACTGTGGCTGCAGTGCATGTGGTGCTCTTATGACCCTGATGTGTCACGGGATTCACAATTGCAACTGAATAAAACAAACCCAACTGAAATTGGAACGCAGCTCTCTGATTAACAATTCTGGGCCATTATCCATTACATCACCCACACATCCAAGCTTACAGAACCTTGTATTCTCAACCATCTAGGTATTGACCAGTCTCGATGTTGCTTAATTTCAGTGATCAAACAGGAAGTGATGTTTCAAGGTGATATGACCATAAGCCATATATCATATAACCAAGCTTTCTACACTACCTTAAACAAAAAGTTAGGAAGGAATCTTCCATTAATACTAGAAAGAGCAATAAAAGAGGCGGATAGAGAAGTCTAATTTCTTGAAAAACTGTTTTAAGAAAAATATTTTTATAAATTTCAACCAATAGTATTCAGTTAATGAATGCTGAAAGATTCCTGTATGGAAGTGTTACAGTGTGATGTGCTCATAAGCAGGAATATTTGCAAGAACATTGCCAAATATGGTAGTCATGTGAAGAAGATTTGTGGATAGAAAGGCAGAAATGTTGTAATTATAACGAATAAGGTGCAGGTACCAGTCAGTGTATAAGAATGATAATTCTTTACCTTAGAAAACAATTTTTTTCTATTTCCATATGAAGTGAAAGTTTGCAGCTAAAATACTATTTTTTTTTTTTTTTACCCTCGGCCATTCTTTGAAGATGTATTTGTGGCAAAAATAAATTCACAGAGATGCACATTTGAATCCACATTTTCAGCTGTAGACTTGCTAACTCATCTCTTGTTCACATCCACTGGCTTTATATGAGGGCAGAGGTACACTAATCTGTAGACGGTATATCGAGGCTATTCCATCAACCGTTTTCTGTTATAAATAACAAAATGAGTCTGCCTTGGTTTTTCTTTGCATCATAGATTTAATGGAATTAGCAGGCACTTACCCTCAGCCTTTTTGAAGGTAAGTGGGTTTTTTCAGCACAGTATTCTTTTAAAAAAAGTACACACTCTTATTAGGATTACAATCTGGACTGGAACCACTAAGTTCTCACTTTCCAGCATTGAAAGATTTCAAGATTGTTTATATGGTCTTGTGAGGGGAAAACATATTTTCAACTCTAGCCTCTTTCCTACAGACAGGTAAAGAATACTGATTTTTTTTCTGTTCAAGATCATTCTTACCATTTTTATGGTGCCATGATCATGGTTATTCCCAACTTGCCATCTCTTGTTAACGCGTTAATGTATTGGGTTCAGTAATAACTGAACATTTGATTA